CCCACGCAGGGCAAAGGGGGTGCCCCACTTTTTGACAAATAAATAAATAAAATTAAGTACAGTGGAACCTTGATATAACGAAGGGCCAAGGGACTGGCAAAATATGTTTATTATAACGAGGTTTGCTAACTTATATCGAGGTTCTTTTTCATATTGCCTTATATTTTACTATTACTGGAGTAAAAAAAAAAGTTTGTTAGACCGAGGACTTTGTTATAGAGGTTCCATTGTAATATACATATTCATATGAATAGTATCTTTGTTGGAATAAGAATCTTCCAGCATCTAAATTTATTATTGGTCCGCTTTGATCCCATCAGTCTGATGCATGGGAGGCCTAAAAAAGTCAATCGTCCTAGGTTTCTGCATTTTCAAACCAGCAAAGCTATGTAGCATTTGCAACAATGCGGAATAGTCTTTTGTGATGAAGGTTCTTGATTAAATCTGAAGACTACTCCATGAACTACGGTTTCTTAAAACGAATTATATCAGCTGATGATGTGGTCTCTGGCACATTTCAATGACATGCTAGACAAAATGAAGGCATTACAGGAACCTACAGCGTAATATCATGATATGCAAACTTCTAGTGGTGGATTCAGCATGTGCAATCACGCTCAGCAGGAGAAAGGTACTTTTCAGCGGCTTGAAATTTATGAACACGACTCTGCTCAACAATGACTCAAGAAAGGTTCAGTAATCTGACAGTTCTAAACAGCCACAAAGAGAGAACAGCCAAATTTGCTCTGCCCCTCTGCTTCCCAGGCCCTCTTAGGGGTTTTAACTCTTAAAAATGCTAGTTTCTAATAATATTTTACAATGGAAAAAAACAAGCAAGAAAACCAACAGAGCACAATCAAGGATGGGCCCCCATGATGAATATAATTTCCACTGTGTAACACTTCTTCCTAGAGGCAGTGAATTTATGGCACACTGTGTTATCAGAAGAATCGTGCAACCTAGTGATGTACTGAACCATTTAGTTTTTCAATACATAAAGTTAGTTGCAAATAATAATTTATTAATGCAGTGATAACCCACTCTATGATCTACAGACACCCACTTAATTGGAAACCCATATATAACAGGCAGTTTTGTTTGTCCTGAGGAAAAGCATACATTTTTTTTTTAAATTAACCGGCTTAGTACGCACAGTAGTTAGCACAGTAGTTAATGTGGACAACAACCACTTTTCTGTGTTTCAAGTCAGAAATTCCTATATATTCTTAATCCAGCTTTACAGACACTGGTTACCCAGGCACTTTCTATTTTTCTTGTCACAATGATGTGCCAATTGTAGACATTGTACAAAGTTCATGGGTTAATAAGATTTTATTACCAAAACATCTGCAGCCAAATAGCATGACACATTTGATTTTGATACATCTTTCTTTCTTCCCCTGTTTGTAGTCCTTTGATAAATTTTCTGCCTCCTACTCAACAAGTTTCACGTCCTTGGCTTTTTGTTACAGTCATTGTTCCTACCTTTCTTCCTCCTTGTTCCTTTATGCTATATATCAAATAAATCACGTGTCTGTGACTTTTTTCCAATTATTAGTGAGCTTCCTGCATTTATTGTTGTCATGGTGAACGTCCATGAAAGTAACATCCATGAAGTATGACAAATTCAACATCATCCATGAAAGTAACATCCATGTGTCCTTTTGGAACTGATTGGTTTTTGTCACAGATGTATGTTACTTGGTGAAATAAAAAAGCATCTTTGATATTTTTTGTATCGGGCTTAGACAACAGCTGTCAGAGAAAAGAATTCCTTTAAATTACATGGACGTTCCGTAACGTCCATGTCAATAGTTTTGGCAGTTACTAATTTCTCCCAAAAAATGTAATTTGAAAATACTGTGGTTTTAAATGGAGAGCTATGGTTAAACTAAACATTTCATGTTACATTTGATCTTCATTGAACTCATTTGTTTGAACTATGGTTAAAAAGTGTTTCATTCATTATTACCAGAATATGAGTCTTTTAGTAGTCACTTACTTTGGATACCCCCCTCAGTATCAAATGGTGGATCTGCACTTATGTACTGATGATTTTTGAAACTTCAGTCCTTATGCATTTTGGCTATGTACCTAAAATTCCAGAGTAGTTAAGTTCAAAAATGGTCATTTTTTCTGTTCACATGTGGAATGGACCTATTATACAACAATTTATTTGTATTAAGTAGCTTTTTCAGAATAACATCTATAACATTTTGATCTAAAAAATGAGGGACATAAACAGCTAGATTGTTACTTTTCTTGGAAGCAGTTTTGTTCACAAAAATATTTCATTTTACTAGCACAGTTTCTGAGGCTACATAGCTTTAAAAAACAATTACAACTATAAGAAACATGCAACAGAGCGGTTTTCACTTGACTGTCGTAAAACCAAAACCAAAGTAAATACACTAGCCAACCAAAGGGCGTAGTAAAACCAAAACCAAACCAATTCCTCAATTACTTTCGACAGTCAAGTGAAAACCGCTCTAATCTACATTGTGTTAACCATGTAGTTACTGAACAGCTACAATGTAAAAACAGTCACACGAATACAGTTGGACTTACTTTGAACTGTTATGATGACATCAGCAGTATCTGGATCACCAACACCATTATAAGCTGTGCACCTATAGCCACCTTGGTCCTTTCTTCCACTGATATTAAAAGGCATGGAGACATTGCTGTTGTCAGAGAGTCTAGTCCAAAAGGTTGTAGGTACAGGAAATCCATAAGCTATGCAGCTCAGATGCACTTCATCGTTCTGATTCACTGTCTGATTGTCAGAGGTGTGATTGATGTTTGATGGAACTGAGAAGTCAAACAAAAATATTAATGGCGAATTTAAATATTGACACCTGGTCTAATAATAGTGGAGCATTCATCATTTTTTTACATTTTACTTGTTTATGTTGTTTAAAGCAAGTGTACTCTCTATTAGACAAAGGGTCTAACGTTGTGTTTTGTTGACCTAAATAAACTTTAACAAAAATTGAAAAAATAATTGAAAAAATGGCTCTCTGAAGAGCATGTTAGAAAACTTTTTTTCGCTGTGCAACACGCTTTTTGCCATTGGAATTTTTTACTGTTTTGGGAAAAATGCAGTAGGTGTTTGGTACAAATAAATCCACTGCATGACAAAACGCAAAGGTTTGCTCAGAGTTGACAAGCAAAGGTTGAATTTTTACAAAAAAGGTTAGCTGACTACTGCTGTTTTTCAGCTGACATCAGGGCGGCCATGCTGATGGACAAGAACAAAAGCATTTCCCTCTGCATGGAATTAATTAACACTTTTTTCAATCAAATTCTACAAAAAAGTTTTTTTATTGTTTTGTCTACCAGCATTGTCCCCTTGCCACATGGTTGAAAACCAGCAACTGCAGGAATCTTCCTGCCAAGATTTAGCATACAAATGGAGTTACCATGAAACAAATTGCCAGTTGCTTTGAATTTGCAACTTTTTAATTGAATGTTTGCGCAAGAGACACTTTCATTTGTGCATGTCACTGTTCATAGCTTAAAGTGTGTATTCCAAAATTAACATTAATCCTATGGACAAAAAAAACAACAATCTTTATTGGGCTCTTGATACAAAATTGTAGAGTCATTAAAAGGAAATAAATGTGAAAGAAAGAGAGAAAAGAAAGAAAAAAGAAAGGATTTACACAGTTAAAGTTTAGAATGCTCCATGCACTGTAAAATCTATCGAAGAAGAGAGGGAAAAAAGTATGTTGTTCAAGCTAACTCAAAGGTCACGTTTCACATTATCATGAGCTTGGCCTGTCAACACCAACAGGAGGGCATTTTGTATGCGCATGCATCAATATGGTCCGTTGAAGTGCTACAGAGGCATTTTCTGTGAATTGTTTACGTTCACTTCCAGCATTTGCAGGCTGTTTTCTAGAGCTGAATGACGTATATTGGGAGCTACGTTCCACAAACGTGTTCTTCAAGGTATTGAGGTAATTCTCCGATGAAATTAAGTTTTATTGTATTCTCGTTATCACCCTTAAGAGGAGAGTCTTACCTTTCGTAAAACAGTACATCGAAGACAAGATGGCGGCTGAATGTTGTTACGACCAAACATTTCGCGCAAATTTTTTGTACTCTTGATACATAAGTGCAGAGTCATTAAAAGGCAATAAATGTGAAAGAAAGAGAGAAAAGAAAGAAAAAAGAAAAGAAAAGATTTACACAGTTAAAGTTTAGAATACTTCATGCACTATAAAATCTACCCGCTAAGAAGGAAGGAGAAAAAAAATTGGTTGTTCAAGCAAACTCAAAGGCCACGTTTCACATTATCATGAGCTTGGCCTGTCAACACCAACAGGAGGGCATTTTGTATGCGCATGCGTCAATATGGTCTGTTGAAGTGCCACAGAGGCATTTTCCGTGAATTGTTTACGTTCACTACCAGCATTTGCAGGTTGTTCTCTAGAGCTGAATGACGTGTATTGGGTGCTACGTTCCACAAACGTGTCCTTTAAGGTATCGAGGTATTTCTTCGATGAAAGTAAGTTATATTTTTTGAGCAGCAGGAAAAGGTCAGTATGGTAATTTTTCGTTGAACAATCGCGCAATAGATATTTAACTCTTCTCAACGGTATCACTCTAAAATCAAACTTAATCGTTTCATGAATACAGTGGTAAATTACGTGTCCACTTTGCCATGAAATTGTTTTTCACCCTTTCGTTTGTTGTTTATCTCGAAATCTTGCCTTTCTCCCCACATTAAGTCAATTATTAAGGAAACTAAGAATACTACCGCGAATGAATGGTGCTTTGATGAGGGCTGTGAAAAATCGCCTTCTGCAGTAATGTTAGCTATCCTTCCCGGTACGTCTTCTTTGAGAAATAAAATACACGCAATTCAACTATAATTTAATTGAATATAATGATGCCAGTAAGATTGTGTTTTGAGGGAAAAGGGCCTGGGTAGCAATGGCGTAAGACGTGTCCTTGATCCGTCCGCCACATATTCTATTTTTCCCGGGTGGTAAATGGAAGAACTGTTGAAAAAGATCTTGGAACGGAAAAGAAGCGAGCGTTCCTCTTCAGAGGAGTCGAGCACTTCACCAGAAGCAAAAAAAGCGAGGAGTGATGAAGTAAACTCTCCTGAAGAAGTCGAGGAGCACGAGGTTGAAGACGAAATCTTTACGGTTTTGAACATGGCCGAAGGTTTTCATAAAGCTTTGGAGGAGATAAATCGAAAGCTGGAAAAGCTAGACGCTATCCAAACAACAGTAAATGAAGTCCAAACGTCCCTTCAAAAATTGGAAGGAAGAATACAGAAGCTGGAATATTCGCAAACAACCGCCAGCCACGACATTGAGAACTTGAAAGAAAGCTTAAATAAAGCTGAGAAGCAACAGCAGAATTCGACAGCGAGCCTAAAATTTTACCAGGAGAAAACAGATCTCGCTTTAACCGATTTGCAGAAGAAAAATGTTGTTTTAGAAGCTAAGCTTAAAGAGGTACAAGACAAGAATCTCTATTTGGAAGCCTACTCGAGGCGGGAAAATATAATTTTTGAAAATATTGTGCAAGAAACAGACAAAGAAGACACTGAATTAGTTGTTCGCACCTTCCTCGAGACGGAATTAGGATACAAAGATGCAAGCACCGTTGAAATACAGAGGGTTCATCGCTTAGGAAAGAAGAAGGAAGAAAAGCCCAGGCAAATTATCGCAAGGTTCCTCCGCTATAAGAACTGTGAAGAAATTCTAGCTTTGGGCTCCCGTTTGCGAGGAAGCAGATTTAAAATGTATCAAGATCTACCCTACGAAATAGTAGCAAGAAGAAGAAAGCAAATGGACACTTTTAAAGAAGCTAGGAAAAATAACATCCCTGCATCTTTTAGTCGGGCACAACCGGATAAGCTCTTGATAAAAGGTAAAATTTGGCCAGTTGGTAAACCTCTCGAGATACCAGGATAGGTGAGAATGCTTCTTCATCATGTCATTACTCATTAGGTAACCAAGATCACGTTAGTATCGTTTGACCACATTTGCCACCCGTTATTATCAATTGCTAGATAATTATTTAGGCGATCGGAATAGAGGTTCGTAACAGATGGCGCTTCGGTTTTTCTTATCTGTCTGTAAGATTCTAGGTAAAAGTCCTAACTTCCCCCCCATGTCCCTTTACGAAGAGGTTTCTTATTTAGTTGTGTTTATCTGTGCATGTTCTGTTTGGTTTCTATGTTTTAATAGCTTAATCATTTGTTTTAGAAGTAAACGCCTAGTACAAATTCCTATCATACCGTGCAGTGATTGTGGAGCTTTGACACCAGGTGATGTAAGGCTTCCTCTGCAAAGCTGCCCAAGAGAATATCTATGGCTTTGACAATAGCATCACTAAACGTCAGGGGATTAAGAGACAATACAAAGCGTAGAGAGGTGTTTAATTGGCTTCGCAAAAAAAATTACTCGGCATATATGCTACAAGAAGTCCACTGCACTGAAAATACTAATCACGTATGGTCTGCTGAATGGGGCTATCAAGCTATTTTTAGTACTTATAAGAGCAATAAAGCAGGGGTATGCATCCTTTTCAACAACAACTTCGATTTTCAAATAGAAAAAACTTACACTGACCCCCAAGGACGCTTCATTATTTGCGACATTAAAACCAATGAAAAGTGTTTTACTTTAGGGAACATATATGCTCCTAATGAAGACAACCCAACTTTCTTCCTTGACTTCTTTGATCACCTTGCAGATTTCAAATGTGATGATATTATTATAGGAGGCGACTACAACCTTGTACTGGATTTAGAGAAGGACAAGATGGGTGGTCTTACTAAAACTCACCAAAATAGTGTTAAAGTTGTTCAAGAATTCTCTGAGAAACTAGATCTGGTAGACGTCTGGAGGATTCTACACCCAGACACTAGTAGATTTACCTGGAGACAACGTCATCCAAAAGTACACTGTAGGCTCGATTTTTTTCTAGTAAGCCAAAGCACAGTTAACATCACGACCCTCGCAGATATCGTCCCAGGTTATAAAACCGACCACTCAATGACTACGTTATGCTTATCACTACATTCAAATCTACGTGGACCAGGTTTCTGGAAACTAAACACATCTTTTTTAACTGAATTGGATTACGTAAACCAAATTAAAACAACGATTCAGGAAACACTCGATGAGTACAAAAATGACGAATCGGTAAATCCTTCACTTCTTTGGGAAATGATAAAGCTAAAAGTGCGCGAAAAATCGCTCCGCTACTCCAAGAGCAAAACAAAGCAAGCTAAACAACGCGAAACATTTCTGGAACAAACAATTGCCAGATTAGAAGCGGATCTCGATAATAAAAACTCCGATGAAATGCACTCCTTACACCTGGAGGAACAATTGAATGAAAGCAGGCTTGAGCTTGAAAAGATAATTGAAATCCGCACCAAAGGCGCAATTTTGAGATCTAAGTCTAAATGGTATAATGAAGGAGAGAAAAACACCAAGTATTTTCTTAATTTAGAAAAACGACACTACAAGCAAGGGACAATAAGTCAAATTAAAATAAACGATAGCGAATTTGTCACCTCGGATAAAAAAATATTAACTGAATGTGTGGCGTTCTATAAAAATCTCTACTCATCCAAAGGTAACACATACAACCAAGATGGTACAACTGTTTTCTTTGAGGGTGGTGATGAAAGAGCCATTGACGAACATGAATTAACTTCGTGCGAAGGAGTTTTAACTGAAAAAGAGTGCCTTGAGGCTTTAAGAGATATGGAATCAGAAAAGACCCCTGGGACCGACGGCCTACCAGCCGAATTTTACAAAGTGTTTTGGAAAGATGTATCCAGCACCCTAATTAGCGCACTGAACTACGCTTATGAAACTGGAAAACTCTCAATAACCCAGAGAAGAGGAATTATCAAACTTATCCCTAAGAAAGACGCAGAACCGTTCTTTATTAAGAATTGGAGACCCCTAACCCTCCTGAACAGCGACTATAAAATAGCGGCAAAATCAATTGCTAATCGCTTGAAACCTCTCCTCCCTGATCTCATTAATTACGACCAGACTGGCTTTATAAGAGGTCGTTTTATCGGAGAAAACATCCGCCTTATCGATAGCGTTATTTGCTACGCTAAAGAAAACAATATACCAGGATTACTTTTGTTTTTAGATTTTGAAAAAGCTTTTGACACGATAGAATGGCCTTTCATTAGGAAAACCTTTCAACATTTTGGTTTTGGTAGTAGCATCTTAAAATGGCTAAACCTTTTCTATTGCTGCCCAGAAAGCTGCGTTTTGAATAATGGTTGGGCGAGTGATTTTTTTGAAATCCAAAAAGGTGTAAGGCAAGGCTGTCCCCTCTCACCTTATCTGTTTGTTCTGGCAGTAGAAGTTTTAGCTAAGGCAATTCGTGAAAATAAAAGTATTAAAGGGATCTTTGTAAACGGTAAAGAAATAAAACTAAGTCAGTATGCAGACGATACAACTCTTATACTAGATGGAACAAAGGAATCGTTAATAGCCTCTCTCAAAACACTGGACGATTTTTATGAAGTCTCTGGCTTAAAACTTAATGACAAAAAAACAGAAGCCTTTTGGATTGGGGCAAATTGTAACAAAGATGAAATATCAATTGTCGGAAGAAACTTTAAATGGCCGAAGTGTAAAGTTAAAGCTTTAGGTGTCTGGTTTTCAAATGATCCGGAAGCAACTGCAACTTTAAATTATAATGAAAAACTAGATAAGGTCCGGAATGTTTTGAGCTGCTGGAAATACCGTAGACTTACCCTAGTTGGAAAGATAACGGTCCTAAAAAGTCTGGTTGCCTCTCAGCTCGTTTATGTGCTCTCACCTTTACATACAAATGTGAAAATTATCAAAGAAGTAAACAAGTTATTTTTTTCATTCCTCTGGAATGGAAAAGGAGATAAAATCAAACGAGACATTATAACAAACGATTATGCTAATGGAGGACTTAAAATGATAGACATACAGTCTTTTAACAAGTCCCTGAAAGCTACATGGATTAAAAAATATCTGGATGAAGAGAACCAGGGAAAATGGAAATATTTTTTTGATATAGAGTTAGAGCGATTTGGAGGCACAATAGTCCTCACTAGTAATTTAAACAAGAAAGATACCATTGAGAATCTCAAGATTAAGAATAACTTTATAAAAGAGATACTTTCAATCTGGGCGGAAGTCAATTTTGATGAAAACATAACGTCCGAGAAACAATTTCTTGAACAAACTTTATGGTACAACTCACTCATTAGAATCGATAACTGCCCCGTCTTCTATCGTGAATGGTTTGATCGAGGCGTTACGAAAGTGAAACATTTGAAAGATGAACATAACAAATTTTTATCACTAGCTGAGCTGCAGCAAAAATACAGCCTCAAAGTTTGTCTTTTAAAGTATTTCGGACTAGTGTCTGCTCTAAAATCTCTTTGGACTACATGTAAAACAAACTGTATCAAAAACTGCAACAATTATGAAACCTTTGTAGTAAGATTAACAGAATGCCAAAGTGCGAGCAAACTTGTATACACCAAGTTGCTTTCTACAAAATGCAAGTTACCATCCCATAATCAACAGAAATGGCTAAAAGACTGCAACGAAAATGATGTGGAGGCGATTAATTGGCGGGAAGCCTACCAGTTGGCCGCTAAATATACTAAAAGTACAAGAATTATTGAATTCCAATATAAATTTTTACATAGACGAATATCAACGAACGACTTCTTAACAAAAATTGGCGTAAAAGACAACCCAAATTGTTCTTTTTGTAATAATGAACCGGAGAAACTTCTTCATCTTTTTTGGTCTTGTCCTAAAGTGGCCTTTTTCTGGCATAGTTTATCTCTTAAGCTGACTTTGCTCCACATTACACCGGAACATTACACATTAGATATATTTGTTGCACTTGGTCTAAAGCCGGATTCTTCAAAAAACTGCCAGCAAATTAATTTCCTTTTCCTTCTAGCCAGAAATTACATCTGGATTAGCAAAAGAAGGGAAACCTCGCCAAAGATAGCAGGCTTCCTGCAATACCTCAAATCATTCTACCACATAGAGACCACTGCAGGTCCCATTTTACCAAAAAAATGGGAAAATGTGAGCTCCTTATTTCAGTAAGCCTTTGATTTTGTATACATTTGTATATCTCGATCCTCTGCTCATTTTCTCCAGCATTAACCTGGTGTATCTTTTGCTTCACAATCGCTGCCTCTTTAAGACACTTAAGATATAAGTGCGTTTACCGTGAATGTTTGGTTTTGTAAATGTTGGTTTTGAAGTACAATTACTAATTAGAACTGCTTGTAAATAGTGCATTGTAGTGTGAGAAGTGAGTAGGTAGTGTTGTAAGTACTGAGTATTGTAAGTCTTTACATTGTAAACAGAGTAAGTACCTTAGTCTATTGTATTCTAAATATTGTATTGTAAGTAGTGTAAGTATCGTAGTGTTTGTAAGTATTTTTGATTGTTGATTGTTGATTGAATAAATGTTATTAAAGATAAAAAAAACAAAAAAAAAACAAAAAGATTGTGTTTTGAAAATAAGAAAATTCTATGATTTAGTTACACAAAGGAACAAAATTACAGCAGTCGGTTTGGATTCTGATTTTGTCCACCTTATTTTGATGGTACACTGTTTGTTTACATTTCACTATGCAAATAAATATAACATTCGGCGTTTTAAAAAAAATCTAGCCAAACTCCCCAACCCCAAAATAGCACGAAATGAAACGTTATCGAAACACCTTTTAAATAAGTCCCGGTTTCTGTTGCCAAAAAATTGCATTTATTCCTAAATGATACCATTTTGTGGATACTAAATTTGTTGATATGCTAATTTGCCAAACATTTCATTCACATTCTCCTCTGTATTGAGCCACATTCTTGTTTAATTTATGAGCAAGACTTGGTAAAGAGCACGCGACCAGTGACAGCGACCTTGGTGCATAGACATAGGAACCAAATTCATCGCTTTGAAAGCTTGCTTGAGATTCAAATGGTAGCAGGAACTTAGGAAAGACCTTCGTTGTACAAAATAAGTAACGATCTGGCCCGGGTTCCTGGAAAGCAGATTAATCTATCCTCCGATTAGCGTCAAATCCACGATTAAATTTCTTATTCCTCGGATAACTAATCGTGGGTTAAAAAGGAGTTCCTGAAAGCGAAATTATCCAGCGATTAACTAATCCCAGATTAGTGCTAAATGAAAACCGGTTTAACGAGTTTTTCGACCGCCTGCCTCTAAAAAAATATGGCGCGAAAAATTGGCGCGGATTGCGGAGCCGGTGAGGAAAACAAAATGGCGGAAAGTGAGGTGAAAGAACTTGAAGTAAAGGAAAGAAAAAGAAAACCAAATTTCTCACCGCTTGAGGTTTCCGTAATTACAGAAAGTGTAAAAAAAAAATATTCCTGTGATCCAGTCAAAGCTGACGAATAATATAACCAACAAAAAAAAAAGTCAAGTCTGGGAGGAGATTACGAAGGAGGTAAATGCTGTTGGCCGAGCGAATCGCTCCGTCCAAGAAATAAAAGACAAGTGGAAGAACCTCCACTCAACAGCCAAAAAAGAATTTAGTAATTACAAGAAAGAGTACAAGAAGACTGGGGGTGGACCTCCACCCAAGCCCCCTTCCCAGTCAAGTGAGCAAATCATAGAAATTTTTGAGGACACACCCGCCTTCTCCGGACTGGGGGGATTTGAGACTGGTGGCGGCGAAGGGCTTGGTGAGAAAGCTTATGTAAATATTTCATTGTTTTACTGGTCATGTGATTTCCTAGAAAGCTGTAGCTTTGTCCGCCATTTTTGGTATGTTTTTATCTGGGAACCTTTCGTGGAGCATTTTAAGATAAGTACTTAAGTTTTTAAATTATTTTGCAGAGTTTCCTCCCCATTTTCTGCCATTTTACTTTGCGAAATTACCAACTCGATGATCCCCGACAGCAGCAAAAACGGGGTTAACTTCGGTGTAAGAACCTGTGAACTTTGTTTTTCTTGGTTCTGTTATCTTCTTTGAATTCTCTCTTACACCGAGAAACGTTCGAATGTAGGCTCTGATGAACTCGTAATTCGAGAATAAGAATTTGTTCTCCTTTGCTTTTCAGTGAAAAGCTTACTTTTTTTTTTTTTATAGTCAAGCTTGCATTAATGTTTCGAAGGCAAGTTTTATTTCGATGTAACAACATAGGAAAGGGTCAACAGCGAAGGAAATCTCAATCGCAGTAATAGAAGGACTTGAAAAAAGGCCACTGAGTGCTTATAAAAAACATCAATACAAGCTTACGTAAATATCCTATCTTTTTCAACATTTCACCTATAGTTCAAATTTCTGGTGCTGAATGCACAACATTTTCTTGAATTGAATATAGTAGAACCAGCTGAAGCAGATATTGTGGAAGACCAACAAGATTTACCAACGCTATCGAGTGAAGATATGATGAAACTTGGTCTGATAGCACAGGTTAAGGAAGATCATTCACCGTTGCCACCAAATAGAAAGAGACGAATTTCACAAGCTGATATTCTGGAAGAGCAGCAAAAGGCATTAAAGCTACAACAAGAAATGCTAGAGCTAAAGAAAACAAAGCTTCGAATGGAAATTCTTCTTATCAGCAAAAAACTGGATGATGAAGATAAGGAAAACATCCCAAATTGAATGCAGAATATTTTTTATGAACACTTTATATTGATATTGGGATTTTACATTAGCTTACAATGTTTTGTAAAATGTTTCAGATTCTACATAAATTTCAAGCATATTTTTTCATACACAAAATCTTGTTTATCCCAGTTATGGAATTAATGTCTCTGTGACCAGTTACATAGTAATATATTTCATTTTGATTCAAATCCATTATTTTATATTGCACTAAATTAAGTTTTATTATTACCAATTACATTTAATGATAAAATTAAAAACAACTTTGCCCAATCCATAATTGGCATATATTTATTTATATATTAAATCGGTTGTAAATTAGTTTCTCGATGCCGTAGAGAATTTCTGTCAATTATTTGTGGATAGCTGATTTAGCCATATTTCGGGAGTGGATTAATAACGATCAGCGGGCGACTACCACGCCGTTATCAGTTAGAATAGAAGTCTTTTAGCGATACAAAGTTTGTTTATCGGAAAACTGTACTTTTTGAGTGGACTAACATTGTAACACATCTTGTACAGGAGTTTGCTTTTAGCCAGAACTTTAGTGCTCTCATAATTTTTAACTATTGGTCGGCATCACATGTTTATTGTACTTCTTGGGAAACCGAACCATTTGTTTCATCAAAATCGGTCACAAGATTCGACTTAAATTTCGATCCTATTGAATGCAGTTTTGACTGTGCCTCATTGACATTCATTTTTTTTAGCGGAGATCCGCGCGCGAAGCACGCCAGCAGAGCACCATGGTTAAGTAAATGTACCCATCCCAGAAAATTTGGTAATCACGTGACCGTACACCGCCCGTCCGTCCGCACCACAGGGAAACCAATGTTCAATTTCACACTCTAGTTCTAGCTCGTTTGGGAGCATAGGAAAACTGATATTGCACACATATTGCACATAAATGTTGTGATCAACTGACAGCTGTCAAAACAGGGTATCTACTGACCAGAATCACCTGACCTTATAGCGAGCTCGGGTGTCGGCCCATCGAGGTCGAGTATTTTTTGAAGTTATCCGCTGACAAGTGACTAGTTTTCAAATGATTGCAGGCTCAAGTTTAATTTTTTTAATTCATATAAAATATGTTGTGTTTATGTGCCACACAGATTAAACTTTTTATTTCAAACTGGCCTCTGACGTGAAAATTCAGTAAGCTAGGCTATTACAGGCAAGGAAGACAGTTGCTTTTGACTTTTCTCACCTAGCCACGCGTTGGTCACGCTCTACGTCCAGTTTTCATGCTCTGATTGGTCAAAATTTGACAGGTGAGTTCATGCGGAAAATTTATGCAGCATCTTGAAACTTGTTTACTTTGACAGCTGAAGCTGACAGAGTTTTGTGTCAACTTGTGACGTTCTTAACTGTCTTTTCCAATGGATGTACAAAATGAAATTCAGCTGCTATCAAGAGCCTTCTGTTATTCATGGCTAGTTTGTTTTTTGGGTTTTTGGTTAAGGAAAGCGTCGCTTGTCCAAGTCGGAAATCCGATTTCTGATGGCATTGTTTTCGTTTCCACCTTGCTTGATGCGTAGAAGTCTGAAGCGATTCTGGCCTTACTTGTCAGCTTTCGGGAGCTGCATCTCGAATGGTAGGCCTCAGTAATTATTGTATTTGACTGTCTTTTTTTGTATATATATCTAATTTAATGAAGTCGAGCGTAGTTTATGCGGCTATTTAGTTTATGCACGTTTGTAAGGTTTGAGACATGATCTGACCGAGTAACAGGTTTGATATACGCTGAATACAGAACTTTAAAAAGGCTTTAGATATTTTTTTCACCGCAAATAGAATGAAAACGTTCCAAAGAATATTTAGTTATAATTCTGGTTGTAAAGGAGAGCTTTGAGCGATTTTCTTGCCTCGAGTTCATCTTTGAATAAGCAAACATCGGGAAGCCGGCTTTACATGTAAACATAAACTTAAGCTTTAAGCTTTAGGGACCGTTCATTTTTTATGGGGTAGGGGGGGGGGGGGGGGGGGGG